CCCCCCCCCCCCCCAAAAGATGGTCCTCTTTGAGACAGGAACATTCCCAAAGTTTCATTACCCTAGCTCAATTCGTTCAAAAGTTAGCAGGGGTGGGACGGACTTTTGGTACACCCTGTATATATTCATTGTGAAATGAGCCCTGTTATGTATTAAAGCAGGCGATTGGGCATCAAATAAAGGCTCTTGGGGAAATTTCTCGGAAAAGTTTTTGATGAGTGATTCCTCTGTATTTTTGGGCGCTGAATCCGAATTTCGCATTTGTGTAAAGATCTTTTCGCCGCTAAAACCGCCATTTTGAGAAAATGGCCTAAAATCCCGATTTTTGAAAATATCTCGCTTATTTTTGATGTTTTGACCATAGTAGCTCTTATCAAAATTTAGTACATTAAATTTTAAAGAAAGGATGTTCTTATCACTTTTTTGAATTGACTGGAATTTAAGCCGCCAAAGCGTGCTGAAACAACCGCCAAAATTCGAATTTCGCGAAACTTGCGCTTTTCTCGTAAATAACTTTTTTCAGGGCGACTCTACGTGAAAAATCTTAACTATCAAACTGATACAGCAACAAATCGAATACTAAGGGTTGCTTTTTCGAAATTTTTCTTAATCCTGGACAGCACTGACAAGCTTTTGAAGAGCGAATTGAAAAAAGCTAAACCGAGCATGCGGGTAGGGTTCGCCAGTATCTGCGTACGTAATTACTCTTCTGTGGACTTTTCTAGGGGACTTATTTACGAGTCAGATTGTAAAATTTCATTGGGAGGTGACCCTCCCCCNATAAAACCCCCTACTAATTAAATGTCACAAATTCCCCCCCCCCCTCCTCCTCACTCTGGCAATTACCGCTATTGGCGCAATTCATTTTAGTGAATGAAACGTGAATGATTTCATCGGTAATATTTCGAGTAACATTAATAATTCATCAGGAAAATTCTATAAGTTCTCATAAATATTGGTTTTTTTTTTATGAGAAAAGGGAAAATGGACGGAAAAAAGTTTACTTTGAAGTAGACGGACTGTATTATTACATTTGCATAGCTTTTTTAAGTTATAATAAAGACATTTCAGAGTTTTCTTAAGTTTCACAAATCAGGCAATTTTTGAGGATACCCTGCATACAAAGTTATAAAATTCAAATCATGTATCTACCTAATTATTTTCTTCAGCGTACTGTAGATGGTCCTGGAAATTTCGTGAGATCAGTTTGTGGCACAACCGAGTTCTTGTTGTTCCTGAGTTCTCACCCATAAAACCCCCTACTAATTAAATGTCACAAATTACCCCCCCCCCTCCTCCTCACTCTGGCAATTACCGCTATTGGCGCAATTCATTTTAGTGAATGAAACGTGAATGATTTCTGCAACTCCTGTGAAAGCAACTCCTAGTATTAGTTTTGTTGCTGTATCAGTTTGATAGTTAAGATTTTTCACGTAGAGTCGCCCCGAGAAAAGTTATTTACGAGGAAAGCGCAAGTTTCATGAAATTCGAATTTTGGCGGTTTTTTCAGCACGCTTTGGTGGCTTAAATTTCAGTCAATTCAAAAAATTGATAAGAACATCTTTTCTTTAAAATTTAATGTACTTTAATTTTAATAATAACTACTTTGGTCAAAACATCAAAAATAAGCGAGATATTTTCAAAAACCGGGATTTTAGGCCATTTTCTCAAAATGGCGGTTTTAGCGGAGAAAAGATCTTTTACACAAATGCGAAATTCGGATTCAGCGTCCAAAAATACATAGGAACCACTTGTATGCATTTCCACAGTGACGTCTCTCCATATTGCATCTACTTGTTCTGTCACGGTCGCTCCTACATATATTTGTCATTCACCCCCTTATTTTTTCCCTGTTTTCCTTTCCCTTCTTTCTATATGATTACACGATCATATTATGGTGACCACGACGCGAATAAGTGCGTTAAATTCGGTACAATTTGGTGATTTTTAAGTGAAATTATCCAAAAAGCTTCAAAAAACCGAACATCTAAAGTGAAAATTCGTCAGTCCATTTTTCCTTTTCTCGAAAATGTGCCAAAAAGGCATCAGCTGATCCGCCAGTCCGCTCTCGTTGCCCGCAGCCGCACAGTGCAGTGTCCAATGGAAAAAAGTCAAAATTTCGAACATATAAAATGAAAAAAGATATACGAAAAAAGGGGACATTGGTGGTATCATTTTCAATGTTTGTTTACTGATTTGCATCGAATTGGAGTGAGGGGAGGTAATGAGATTTAAGCTCCGCGCGCGGTGACCGGTAGCCGATGACGCGCAACTGTTGTGATAGCAGGGATCAAGGCTAATTGACACGGTACCAAATGTCCGGTTGATGATAAAAATGGCTACAAACACTCCTGGTAAGTTGGTTAATTAAGATTTTATCGTAAAAATTATTTTTTCAACTTCTAAACATTAAATTTAAGCATGTTTTTTGATGGTGCTCTAATTTATATTCTTCCCTCTTACTTAAACTTTAAAGACGTTTTTAAGAAAAACCTGAAATAACCTTTTATCCTGACAAGTGATAATGATTGCAAATTTCCTTTAGATTCTGAATTTTGAAGTCCCATCTGTGTCTGGCTGCGAATAATAAAGTTATATCGTTTTTCCTGTCTCAAGGTCTTGCTCTGAAAAACTCTGATCTCTTCGACTTATGGATACGGACATAGAAGGAGGAGTGAGTTACAACAATTGAGGGGAAACTCCGAGAACAATTCGCAAACCAACGTGTCTCAGACGAAAATTGGACTTTCTTTGTATTTTTTATGGATTTTTGTATTTTTTGTGGATTTTTTGTTTATATCTTTCTTTTTTCTCTTGTCTCTTGTGAAGTTTAATTTTGCTGTTAATTTTCGGTGATATTTTACCGTGCTGAATTTTTAATTTTTTGAAGTGCCTTTTCCTTTGTATTAAGGACTTGTAATATGACCGAATCCAAGTGTTTGTCCTTTTTAGTGTATTTTCTGAAGGAAAGATACACTATTGCGTTCTCCCTCATGGTGAGACCTAGACCTGGGAGCATGTAAAGAGCACCGATCTCGAGTTGTAGATCACGATTATATATGTCATTCATTTTCTGTCATATATATATATATATATATATATATATATATATATATATATATATATATATGTAATTATGTATGTATGTATGTATGTATTTCAGCCAGCGTGAGGATTTTTCAGTTTTCAGAGCGTTGAGCGGCAGTTAATTTTTAAGTTTCTTGAAACGAAACTTCTGGGGTTTATAGTCCCCTAAGAGTACTTTTAAACTGTGAAGAAAAAATCGGAATGCGTTAATTACTTTTCGCACAGCGAGGGGTCAAAGTGGGGGGAGGTTTAATTTTGTCCACGCGATAACTCGAGTAAAAATGAATATTTTGAGCTGAAATTTTGATGGTAGTTAGATATCTACTAAGGCTGGTTTCCTATTGAATTTCAGCGAAATCGGCCAACACGTTCCATAATAGTGGCAATTTACAGTTTTTACAGGTGAGGGGGGGGTAGGAGTTGCGCAGCCAAGGGGAACTGTTACTTGAAACATATCTGTGGCAAGAGGGGTAGGGTACATGATTTCATTCCCCAATGTGACACTACCCTTCGGAAAATACACTCATGCCGCGGTAAATGCGCGGACTACAAAAAGAACCGTCCCCTACTTGCCGGCAACCCCACAGAAAAACCCTGCCGCTTGCGGCAGGGTTTTTTCTCATTTTGATCCTCAGAAACCTCATTATTTTCTTGTGTATATTTGAATTTTCCAGCTTTCATTTCACGCAGCATTGAAATTCGGAATGAAAGAGAGGAAAGACCTTAACTTTGTTAGGCCCACAGTTAAAAAATAAAATATGCATCGTTAGTATCTGTAAGCATACAGTCAATTTTTGGAGCGACCTTGCACGAATCTATCTATACATTTTAATCTTTGAATTATTGCTAAAAAACTGCTTTTTCCGGGCGCGTTGGCAACACTGTATTTAAAATGGAGGGGTCATGAGAAAGCCAGATACCCTCGTAAGCTTTATTAATTGTGATTTCAGGTTGGTTTTCTATCTTTGTCCCACAAAAATAATGTACTTATGTCATTAAACTAAGTGGGAAAATAACGGTACATTTGGCAACATTTGGGAACACCATATTCAATCATTTGGGGAATTTTGGAAACTTTGACTTTAATACGAGCAAGTACATGATGAATACTCAACACTGTCAAAATTTATTGAATTCCATGCATTATTCGATCAGATATGAATTATTTCCCATCCGCCAATATGGACACTGCACTGTGCGCCGCCATTTTGAAAAGAACTGACTTTTCTGGAAAACTAATGCCAGAGTCTTCTTTCTCGTCCCAAAAAACCTTAGGATTCTGAGTTTCAGACCAATCCGCCGATAAAAAACGGAGGTGCCAAAATTCCGCCATTTTGAACTTTGACCCACCGCCGTTTCGTCAAAAATCAACATTTCGACCTGCGGTTTGCGCCAAAATTTGTCATTTTCATTATATTTCGAATGAGGTATCACAAAAGGGGGGTTGCTGTTTGAAAAAAAAAGTTAGCCCCCGCCCCCCATAGGTAGGGCTGCCCCCCAAAATTTTGAGGGGACCAAAAAGTTGCTACTTTAGACCGAGGAATATTGCCAAAGTTTCAAACTTCTATCTCAATTAGGAAAAAAGTTACAGGGATGGTAGGTGACTTTTGGATAACCCTGTATGTATCCTTAAAGATCTCGAGGTTCGTGTCAGAATGGATATAGTTCCTTTTGATTTAAATACGTCTGTCAACTGTTAACTGGGGTTAGGCTCATTCTGATTTTATCCGTCCATCTCACATTACTTAACATTTTTTATTCCATTTTATGTTTAGAGTATTGCTAATTTTTTTTTTTTTTTTTATCTGATTCTCAGCTCCTCGAAATATTGTTGGGAAAATATGGGAATACTTAGGATGAAAAGGAAACCAAGATACTAAGGATACTAAGGCTTTCAATAGTTATAGCTTCCCTGCCTGCAGAGGCACCAATATGAAAATGAATTTTATCAGACGGAGACAGGAACATCACTAGAGAGTGATGAAACCGAATAAAACAAAATTGGCTCCTACTCACTGGCATTCTTGTTCTCCTAATTTCAGGAGTGGGAGAACAGTTTCTTCTCCTAAGTCTGATGGAAGGTACTTCCTGAAAGTGGAATTCAGACACGACTGGATAGCTTCGTTCTTCTCCGAAATACAGCTCGGTCCTCCTTCAGCAATAAATACTGAAATAATCAAAACAAGGATAGGTGTAAAAAAAACTTTGTTAAACAAAAAATATAGAATGCACGACTAAATTTGAGGATCCAATCGCATTCCATCCGAGGCTGCTCTCGGTAATTTCTTTCAAAAATATGGTGCTTGCTACAGTCAATACACACTATTACTTATGATAATTTAGAATAAAATGTCTACAGAAAAAATTCATTTTTGATTTTCCTGATGTTTTACATGAAATTTTCTGATCTTTTGCGCCAATAAATTGACACTAATTTAATTTTACAAACCAACAGAATTGATGAATTGAAAGAAATTTTTAACTTTTGAATAAGCTTAGTAGCATGTAATTGAAAAATGCTTTCCGAACTTGAAATTTCCTGATTTATTACCAATTTTTCTATCGTTTTCCTGATGACATCAAATTTCCTGATTCTTTCCGGTTTTTACCAACAGTAGACACCCTGTAGACTAAGAATACAATTAAAAAAATGATAACCGAACACTAACATACAGGGAATCAGAAGCCTCTCAATTTTTAAGGAATACTAAATCTTGGGAATGCTTTGACAAATTAATCAAATTGTGAGCGGGTTTCCCCAAGACCCTTCATCTCCAAAAATTCTCGCCAAAAAGCACTATTGGTCCCTTTACCAGTTCTATCCCTATTCTCATTCTTTGTCTTCCCCAAGCAACGGTTCTTTGTCTTTACCTCAAGGTGTGGAGCTCCCTTTTTCAAATTAAGAGCAAAGTTTCACTTTCGACTCCTC